TCAATACTGGATTGAATTGGAGTGAATATTCTATTGGCCATTCACGCATGTTTTCTCCCCTCCCCCTCCCCCACTATTTCCTCTTCCCCTTTCCTGAAAGCCCCCATAGTCTCTCCTCTTTTCCTGCTTCTCTCTCTCTCCTTCTAGGGCTGGCAACCTCCAGATGGGGGCTGGAGACTTCCCGGAATGGCAATAGATCTCTTCACTCCTGAGATCAGTTCCCCTTAGGGTTGCCAGATCGAGGTTGGGAAATCCCTGGGGATTTGGGGGCGGAGCCTTGGGAGGACAGAGACTTCAGTAGGGTACAAGGCCATAGAGTCCACCCTCCAAAGCAGCCATTTTCTCCAGGGGAACTGATCTCTGTCATCTGGCGAGCAGTTGTACTTCCAAGTGATTGCCAGTTCCCATTGGGAGGAACTTGGCAGCCCTAGTTCCCTTGGAGGGAAATGGATGTTTTGGAGGGCAGTCTATGGTATTATATCCCTCCCCTCCTCAAACCCTGCCCTCCCCAGGCTCCCCCTCAAAAAAATATTTATAGGAATTTCCTAACCTCTTTCGCTTTTTTTTTCTGGCAATCCCCCATATCCTCTCCCTGCCTCCTTCTCCCCTTCTCAGCCATTCACCAGCCTACCTTTTATCTGCCATCTTCAGCTATCTTTATTCTTTATTTATTACATTTATACCCCACCTTTCTCCACAGTGGGGACCAAAGCAGCTTGCATCATTCTCTTCTGCTCCTTTTTATCCACATAACAGCCCTGTGAAGTAGGTTAGGCTGAAAGTACGTGACTGGTCCAAAATCACCCAGTCAGTTTCTTTAGCAAGATGGGGACCTGAACCTGGGTATTGCAGACACTTAAGCTGACGCTCTAACTGCTACAGCACACTGGCTTTCATTGGGTAGCTGCTGTTGAACAGGAGCAAGCAGCCAGGCCTACTTGAGTCATGCAAGGCAGGTGGCATCAAGTCCCCCAGTGGTTGCTGCCAGGCCTGGAGTTGCCAACCTCCACATGGGACCTGGAGATCCCCCAGAATTGGGACTGAACTGCAGACATCTGTCCCCCTGGAGAAAATGGCTGTGTTGGAGGGGGGGACTCTGTGACATTACATTGGGCTGAGGCCTCTCCCCTCCCCAAACCAAGCACTCCTCATACTTCATCTCAAAATCTCCAGGAATTTCCCAGTCTGGAGCTGGCAATTCTGTCTTGCCTGTTCGCTGCTCCAGTCACTGGATTTAAGTATCCAAAGATATCCAGATTAGACTATAAGATACAACAATGGTGGCAAGTCTGCAGATAAGTGTCTGTAAAACATTTCCAAATATTTAAAAATATGTCCATCTGCAATTGTTGTCCGTATGCCATACATTCAAATATTGATAAGGTTGTAAAGTCCTCGGTCCACTGGATTATGGGAGATGGCATTTCTCTCCAGTCTTTGTAATAGAAGTTCTAAGCCTATGGAGGGTCAATTTTTGTTGCACATTTAAGCCTTTATAAACTTGCAAGTCATTGCCTGTGTTTTGAACATGAAAAACTGCCGCATCTTCTAGTGACTGGGCTTAGATTGGGGAGTAATTCCAAATTGGGTTCTAGGAAATGAGAGCCTTCCAAAAATGCAAAGCAAATAAGAACATAGTTTTTCTTATGCTGTGCGGCTTTTTTGTCTTGTCTGCCTTTGATATGGTTCCTGAAAGATACCAGTGAAAACCTCATTCATGACCACCTTATGTCCTTAAAATGGAATCTCGCTGCACCAATAAAAGGAAACTCTGTTTGTTCCCATGAAGCAGGCCTGCTGGAGACAATAACATAATTATTAAGTGTGAAGAGCGT